CTTTTTACTTTTTAGTTACTTTTCTTTGCTAGCTCTCCCTTTCAGTAGACTTTTCCTGTATTAGACACACTCTGCGCTCGCAATATGGGCGGAGCCAGGCCTTCCATTGTGTCCTCCATTGAGCTCTCTCGCAATATGGGCGGAGCCAGGCCTTCCATTGTGTCCTTTTTGTTGATGAGCTCTCTATTCTCTTCACCGCCTCGGAAAGTGAGGGCGCAATCATGAGGGAAACGCAATGCTAGGCATCATTCACCCTCAGCAAAAGTTTTGAATCTGCTCAGAGTTCCGAGCAGCGTGGCAAAAAAGGGTAATACTGTCATTTAGTGCCGTGAAAAAACCTAATCAAAAAAATGTAATCTTAATTCAATTCGTTTACCTTCAGGGACGTCTGCGTGACTCGAGAGAGTCATCCGGTTTCGACGATTCGCATGATCTTCTTGATGAAGCGCCACAAGCGATGACAGCTCCGGTGTCGCCTTCCGTGCCGCTCAGTGCAAGCAGGTGAGCATTGACAGCTTGACAAACGCCAAGATGTTGTCCAACACCCTCATTAAGCAGTCATTCGGACGGATGGAAGTATTCGTCACAAAAATTGTTGTGGAAGCTGAAGCCGCGTTACTTCAGCCATGCTTCCAGTACATCTTCATCGACCGATTCTGCCTGGAGATCGCTGGTTAGTCCTATCTTGTTTCTTAAGTTTTTCAAAAGCATGCCAAAATTCTGGCGTAGTTAGACTTGGTGGGGGCACTGGTGGTAGAGCAAAGCTTGTACAGGCTACCTTGTGAAGACTTGTAGATTGCTGTAACTATTTTCAGAGCTTACGCCTCACCAAATTGATACCTGTAACCCAACATGAGTGAGCAAAAGGGCAAAATGCCCTGTGTGGAACAGCGCCCCAATTTCTCCTGAAGAGCAAAATCCGATGTTGACATGATTTCATCATGATCGCTTTGAACTTACGGTCAGCGTTCAGCGAGACCTTCTATATTCCGATCCTTCTCATACCATGGGGGAACGCTCATCTTGGATTCGCCTCAGGCTTAGTATTCCCGTCTCTAGAGGATGAGCTCTCCAGGAATGCCATTCACCATTAAAACATTAAAATAGGACGTGTTAAGCTTGATTGAGAGGATGACACATCGCTATTCGCGAAAAAGTGCCATACTTTCATTCCGTGGACATCTAAGCCGCAGTAACCATAAGGAGTGTGCACACTGTTCGTCAAAGGCAGTTCGGCCCGATGCCCAGCGACCAGGATCAATACTCCTGGCAGGATAGAATTCCGCGACCCTGGGCAGGCGCTGCATAGCGTTTTCCCGAGGAAGGTGCCCTTATAAGAGCCCTATCAAGCCACAACATTACGTCTCAAACGCCGCCGACGCCGCCGACCACAAATGGACGGGACCAGTTTCTGACGCGCCTCGCGTATTCATTCATTTGCTAAGCGAATTATGACAGCGTAAGCGGATTTGGTATGAAGCGGGTGATGCTGATGATACATGGGCTACACATATCCCGCGTGCAGCCGTTCTTCGAGTAGCCGCTGGATTGCGAGATTGCTCTACGCGCTTGGAAGACTCGTTCCGAAATCGATTTACAGTTAGCTTAAGAACGGAGGCTTTTTCTTCGCAGCGATTTCGCTCCGTTCTTCTCGCCCAGTTCACCTATACAGCCGCTACTAGCTATGTTAGCTAGGTAGAGAAAGTCCATCGTGCCAACTGCTTTTAAGAGGTGAGCGGATAAAGCACCAGGAATTGATCAATTCCTTTTCCGAATGTTCCAAGCATTCTCAAAATCGTAGTAAAATTCGAGTGCTATTGCGATTTTACAAGCAAACGTGCCTTCTTGACGACTGTCGCGGCAGGCATGAATGTTAAGAAATTACGTTCCCAGACTAGTCTGGTCAAGGCATAATATCGCTAGGGACTCCCCGACCAGGGGACCGTGTTAGGTCTCGGCAATAATGTTTTGATTGTTGTTTCTCTCGCCTCACACCCACTATATAGCGCCGTTCGACGGCGATAAAACTCGCCCAAGGTTTAATAGAGGTATGGCAAAGAGGGGTGGCGTGTTTCGGGCACGTCCTGCCGTTAGAAAATTTTTGCAAAATATGACCTTCTCGAGATTTCTCCTCTGGTGAAACCCACCCTTTTCCCCATCCTCCGTTCCACCTAATACCTGAATTTTCTCAGCTTTCTACCACTTTCCCCTTTCGTTTCTACCAACAGCCATCGGAGGTAGAGGTTTCTGAGCGTATGACCTTCCTGGGTCGGGTCGCAACAAGTTGTGCAAGGGACTGTACCAACGAGGGAGTTCAACTGCTCTTCGGGCAGGGCACGTCGTATGGGAGAGGAAGGGAGGGGGGGGGGGTGGGATAAACAGCGAAAATTTCTCCCAGCTCAGTTATGTACCAAGAGTGTGGTGTCGACTCTCCGACCACAGCGGAAAGGAAGGTTTGCATGACTAGGGCAGGACTCGATCTAGGATGTTCCCGGCCTTGAAGCCACTTAATAGCACCACTGCCAATTTTACTCAATGCTTTAGTAACTGTAAAGGTTTTTCGCTCGACAATGCAGCTTCTACTGCATATCCATCTTTCGTAGCTCTTTGATCGCTTCCTTTCAGGACAGCGTCACATGGCGATCGTTGGACGGAACCGAAGTTGTGCTCAAGGGTACACGTCTTGAGGCGCTGAGTGAGATAGAGCGAGGTGCTCTACGGCTTGTCGCTCTTCAACGGCTTGCCGTTCTTCTACCGGGAGTCAATCTTTTGAAACCTAGAGGTTCGTGAGTTCTAAGCAAGCACTGTTGTTTTTTTGAAGGTCCTGACATTTCTGAGCGTACCGTAATTCTTTGCAGATCCTCTGACAGCGATTCGTCAAAAGCGCCAGAAACTGTTGAAACCGAACAAGTCACAGAATGCGTTGGATGCAACTCGTCGTCCCAGCGGATGTAGCATGGATGCAGGTAGGACATTCAACGACTAATTGACGGAATAATCTGCTCATATCTTTGCAAGACGGGTACCATCCTTGTGCTCCCTACGTATTCATTATAATTGCAGCGTAGGCTTTTAATAGCTGGGGAGCGATAGCTAAGATATCGCAGTAGGCTTCTCAAGGCGGAAAACACCTATAAATCTCCAGATAATTGCAATTGTGCAAAGCTGAGGAGCTAGTCGCTTTTCAGCCCCCAGTGTTCTGCCAGAGGATGGAAAACTCATTTCAGTCCGAAACATAAAACAATAAAAGTGCGCGAAAGGGAGCATTATTCGGAGCTCTTTCCAGCCTCTTTTCCTTTTTCCCACTGCTTTGCGTTCGGACAAATAGCGCGTGAAAACTCGAGGCCGATCTCCTAGCCAGTTACTTGCACCGAAGTACGCTACTTGCTTTTACCCTCCCAACGCCCGAAAATGCTTCCAAATTTGGGAAAGAAAAAAATAAAAAGACCACTTCCTGTTTCACCAGTTTGTTTCGACAAGCTTAATTATTCAGGTGAGAAAGCGCAGCTGTTTGCCCGTACTTCTCTGGCAGCTGATATCGCACAATGAACCGACGTCCTGATTTGAAAATCGAATGCGTCTTCAGCTGGCACGATTCATCCTGCCCCAATTCCAGCCCTACACTGGGTATGTGTGTTCATGTGCGAGTGAATAGACATCCATTTATCATAGTTCAACCCTAATCAGGGGAGGGGGGAGGAGAGAGAGGGGAGCGGGGGGAGGGGTCAAAACTGTTGTGTGGGACAAGGAGCTTTGAAAAAGAACCAGAAACGAAAAAAATGCGGAACCCTCGGTTGGAATACAGCTCTGGGCGTATGTCCACTCAGGGCAGGGGCATACTGTGACACGTTCGGCCCCAGGGCACGCTCGTACATACGCTGGAAATTCCCACAAGCAAGAGAAAATTCACATTTGCTGACTTTCCTTCGTCCCCTTCCCTCGCTCGGACTGTTCAGTTTTTGGGGAAAAACAAGGAGTTTTATGGAAGAAAATACCTCCGGAAATAACGTAAGCAATTGGGGAACTCTGAGGACCTTTGAAAGGAGCTTGCAGGGAAGGGAGATCGTACCGCGGGAGGTTTTAGCAAAAAATTTTTCAACGGCAGGACATGTCCTGATTCCAATCATTGTGCGACTCTAAATGAAAAGCACCGCGTGGCGCGTGGCGCACCCGTAAAAGACGAGGCTGCGCCAGCAGCTTTTTTATTGAATCCTATTTTTCCCTCTTTTTTGCCATTTTCCACGACAGTCAGTCATCCTTGAGATTTTTTTAGCGAGTGTCGACTTCCACAACGAGCAAAGACGGTAAGATCCGAGCCCGAAATGATCGCGTTGAGTGAACGAAAATGGCTCTATCCATCGACCCAGGTTAGTCAGCACTCATAGTTCCACTGCCCCCCCCCCATTTACTACGATGACGGCTAGTTCAGAATCTCTACCCGGATTCAACGCAGACGTCGCCGCAACCACAACCCGGTTCGGCTCCACCAACTTGTACGCTACCGGTCAAAGACTTTTCGTTAGTTACGGTCCCTGTCGAAGCGGAAAAGGAAGTAGTTACGGTAGGTTCTGCTAACATCACCTTTTTCTTTCCAATACTTGTTAAAAGAAGATTTCCGATGTACTCAAGACATTTATCGTTTTCCATAGACAATCGTAATGAGATTTGATCCCCCTAGGTTTTAGTATAATCCTCTTTCATTCTTGAATGTCAACTGGCTTTCCAACGTGTGACCTTCAGAAAACTTACCGTAATCATATCTCATGTTATCTAATCCCAGCAATGGAATTATCGTCGCTTTTGCCCGCTTCCGGTGCGGAACAAAAATCAGAGCTTAGAATGAGGGCCTTGGAACAATGACATTTCAGCTAATCAGTCAGGCCGATCATAGAGAAATCCACAACAAGAGGGGTCTTATGTGAGTTGCAGGAAAAGGGCGCCAAGTTTAGCCCAGTCAGAGAAATTCTGGAAGTCGTTCAAGAGAGTAGAGGTTTTACAGAACTTCTGCATAATTCCCCCTTTCTCGAAAGTCAACGGGTTTTTTTAAAAAGGCTGAAGATAGAGGGAGATAGGGATATGGATGAAATCGAATGGACTTACTGAAGAGATGGTGAACGACGGTAGAGCGGGGAGGGCCTGCTGAACGGCTAATTTTCCCCATCGCGATAATGTGTCCGTCTTGATCAGCAGATATGCTTAGTAGGGGCAACAAATGCAACTCAGGGAAGCTTCTACAAAGCAGATATGCTTGGTAGGGGCAACAAATGCAACTCAGGGAAGCTTCTACAAGTCACTTCGTGGAAACCTGTAAATTCATGTAACCAGCGTGGCTCACTTGTACCATTTCGTAGCTTCAAAGGGTCTGTAGGTCTCTCCAGAGTGGGACCTGTTCATTAACTTGAACTACCAAAGCCAACAAGCGAAAGCAGCAAATGCCCCTTTCAAGCCGAATAGAGGCAAAATGCGCCCCGTATGCAATAGGGCTCACCTTGCATGTTGAGTAACGCAAAGACATAGTTCACGCTAGTGTGAGCGGACCTGGGCGTAACATGGACTTTTTATAATTAGGAATTCCCTCACTCTATGTCAGTGAAGGGGAGGGCCAGCTAATGTGGCGGACTCCGCCTTTACGATCAACGCGGGCTGCGCATTTGAGCCCAAGGCAGTAAAATCTTTTGCGGCATTGAATCCAATAGGCTTCATTGGATATAAG